TGTTCAGTGTTGTGGTGAGAGGCACTGGGTGCTTGTTCAGTGTTGTGGTGAGAGGCACTGGGTGTTTGTTCAGTGTTGTGGTGAGAGGCACTGGGTGTTTGTTCAGTGTTGTGGTGAGAGGCACTGGGTGTTTGTTCAGTGTTGTGGTGAGAGGCACTGGGTGCTTGTTCAGTGTTGTGGTGAGAGGCACTGGGTGTTTGTTCAGTGTTGTGGTGAGAGGCACTGGGTGCTTGTTCAGTGTTGTAGGGAGACACTTGGTGCTTGTTCAGTGTTGTGGTGAGAGGCACTGGGTGTTTGTTCAGTGTTGTGGTGAGAGGCACTGGGTGCTTGTTCAGTGTTGTGGTGAGAGGCACTGGGTGTTTGTTCAGTGTTGTGGTGAGAGGCACTGGGTGCTTGTTCAGTGTTGTAGGGAGACACTTGGTGCTTGTTCAGTGTTGTGGTGAGAGGCACTGGGTGCTTGTTCAGTGTTGTGGTGAGAGGCACTGGTGTTTGTTCAGTGTTGTGGTGAGAGGCACTGGGTGCTTGTTCAGTGTTGTGGTGAGAGGCACTGGGTGCTTGTTCAGTGTTGTGGTGAGAGGCACTGGGTGCTTGTTCAGTGTTGTGGTGAGAGGCACTGGGTGCTTGTTCAGTGTTGTGGGGAGACACTTGGTGCTTGTTCAGTGTTGTGGTCAGAGACACTGGGTGCTTGTTCAGTGTTGTGGTGAGAGGCACTGGGTGCTTGTTCAGTGTTGTGGTGAGAGGCACTGGGTGCATGTTCAGTGTTGTGGGGAGACACTTGGTGCTTGTTCAGTGTTGTGGTCAGAGACACTGGGTGCTTGTTCAGTGTTGTGGTGAGAGGCACTGGGTGCTTGTTCAGTGTTGTGGTGAGAGGCACTGGGTGCTTGTTCAGTGTTGTGGTGAGAGGCACTGGGTGCTTGTTCAGTGTTGTGGGGAGACACTTGGTGCTTGTTCAGTGTTGTGGTGAGAGGCACTGGGTGCTTGTTCAGTGTTGTGGGGAGACACTTGGTGCTTGTTCAGTGTTGTGGGGAGAGACACTGGGTGCTTGTTCAGTGTTGTGGGGAGAGACACTGGGTGCTTGTTCAGTGTTGTGGAGAGAGACACTGGGTGCTTGTTCCGTGTTGTGGGGAGACACTTGGTGCTTGTTCAGTGTTGTGGTGAGAGGCACTGGGTGCTTGTTCAGTGTTGTGGGGAGACACTTGGTGCTTGTTCAGTGTTGTGGTGAGAGACACTGGGTGCTTGTTCAGTGTTGTGGGGAGAGACACTGGGTGCTTGTTCAGTGTTGTGGAGAGAGACACTGGGTGCTTGTTCAGTGTTGTGGAGAGAGACACTGGGTGCTTGTTCAGTGTTGTGGAGAGAGACACTGGGTGCTTGTTCAGTGTTGTGGGGAGAGACACTGGGTGCTTGTTCAGTGTTGTGGAGAGAGACACTGGGTGCTTGTTCAGTGTTGTGGTGAGAGACACTGGGTGCTTGTTCAGTGTTGTGGGGAGAGACACTGGGTACTTATTCAGTGTTGTGGAGAGAGACACTGGGTGCTTGTTCAGTGTTGTGGTGAGAGACACTGGGTGCTTGTTCATTTTGTTGTGGGAGAGACACTGGGTGCTTGTTCAGTGTTGTGGTGAGAGACACTGGGTGCTTGTTCAGTGTTGTGGTGAGAGACACTGGGTGCTTGTTCAGTGTTGTGGAGAGAGACACTTGGTGCTTGTTCAGTGTTGTGGTGAGAGACACTGGGTGCTTGTTCAGTGTTGTGGGGAGAGACACTGGGTGCTTGTTCAGTGTTGTGGGGAGAGACACTGGGTGCTTGTTCAGTGTTGTGGGGAGAGACACTGGGTGCTTGTTCAGTGTTGTGGAGAGAGACACTGGGTGCTTGTTCAGTGTTGTGGGAGAGACACTGGGTGCTTGTTCAGTGTTGTGGGGAGAGACACTGGGTGCTTGTTCAGTGTTGTGGAGAGAGACACTGGGTGCTTGTTCAGTGTTGTGGTGAGAGACACTGGGTACTTGTTCAGTGTTGTGGTGAGAGACACTGGGTGCTTGTTCAGTGACCACCCGCCTCACTTCGTTATCCCTGAGAAGAGAATAATACAGTTCCAGCCAAACCGATGTAGGTTCTCAAGACAAGAAATGTCACACATGCGGTAGATAAATATTTACTGGAGATATTAAGTTGTTCATGAGAGTGTATTATTAAGCTGTTTATAAGAATGTAAAAATAAATTAACATTGAATGGATGGACCAGGGAATATGATTTTAAGGAAAAAGGTACGACAACAAATTATGTAAATTGATGGGTAGCAATAGTAGTAAAAATAAGAGTAAATTGGCTGGTAACTTAAGATTCGTCATTAAACAGGACAAGTATTTCCTGATGCGGGTCTTAGTCATATGATGACCCTCCACTGGAGCTTTTGGTCGTCTGACCGAGGCCTTCCACTGGCTTTCCGGTCCAACCCTTTAAAATTAATTTATATTTGTGTGTGCTTGGCGGGTAGCATTATCCATAATAAATCAGATTAAAGCAGCAGAATCGTCGAAGATTTATGTAACTTGGCTGGCTTATGTAAATATGTAGTGTCGGATATTAGAGAAAAAATATGTAAAACAGCGGGATACATTAGATATGCTATATATATGCTATATATATGGTATATATACTATATATGCTATATATATGGTATATATACTATATATGCTATATATATGGTATATATACTATATGTGCGTATACTAAGATTGCTAAATTGACGGAAAGCATTAGAGAGAAGCGTACCTGTACATATATAACCCGCAGATAGGAGAGGACCTTACGACGACGTTTCGGTCCGACTTGGACCATTTACAAAGTCACTCTTGTATTATATTGCTGTTCATACTAATATTGGTTAAAATCATAACCATGGTTTTTAAAAATGTGGAGCAGTAAGCCAGCGGAAGGCCTCGGTCAGATGACCTAAAGCTCCAACTGTGGGCCGTCATATGACTAAGACCCGCGTCAGGAAACACTTGTCCTGTTTCCTGATAAACATTATACCTATATCTTTTGTGCTAGTGAGAGTTTGTAAATGGTATAAGTCGGACCGAAACATCGTCGTAAGCTCCTTTCTCCTATGTGCGGGTTCTAGTCACGTATTGTGTCTGAATGGACAATTTCTTACATAAGAAGTTGAAAGAAATTTGCAGGAAAGTGTCGAAATAAAACAAAATTTGTGGAAAATTTGAGGGTGAATATGAATGAGACACGGAAGCAAGCAAGAGGACGTGAACCCTGTGAACTCACCCTCTCCCTGGGCAGTCAACGTCGGCTGCCTCAGCCCACTAAGACGCCACATAACGCTGGGCAGAGAGCAAGTTGATTTTATTCGCTGTTTCCCACAGCTGGGAACACCAGCACCTTTTCCAGTGGTACCCACCCACGAGAAGTATTTGGAATCTTCACAGTTGGCAGAAACGAGCGAAACGATTATATACATTTATCTGAAACCAGAAGTTTAACTCTCTGCCAAGGCAAATATACACTATACATCTGTTACACCATTATACACATAAATGCGACAACAGCTGCCATCCTGGCGCAAACAAATTTATTGAACCTAAGCAGATATTAAAATTAATTAACAGTATTATTTTCAACACACAAATATATCTTAAGTAGTAAATGCGGTCCTGAAAAAAAACATTAAATACTAGAGGCAAAAAATACATAGTGAACGGGAGGGAAGTTTATATAAAAGCTCCGGTGTGAAGTATGGATGCAGTTCATTGTGGAAAAGTGCAAAGTTCTAATCCTAGGGAATGATAATAACTTTCACACTTATAAACTAGGTGATGCGGAGCTTCATCATACAGCATATGAAACAGACTTGGGACCCATGATAAGCTGAAATCTGAAGCTGAGAAAACAATGCCTTAAAAGTGAGTAATAAGACTGACTTCTTGAATATATATCAAAAATTATAAGTAATTAGTCCAGAGGTTATTATACAGCTATTTATATCATTAGTAAGGCCTCATTTAGATTATGTAGCTCAATTTTGGATGTAAATAATAATCAATGTAAAACATAAAGGATGACAAAATTAATATATAAAAAATCTTACGTAAACAGATATGAAATTGACAGCAACTTGTCCTCCGACTTAACAGTAATCATTGGATACTGTTGCTACTACTGTTACTAATAATAACAATAATAATTATTATTTTTACAAGTATATGATGCAATTTATACAAACCTAGCTGACATCAGTGACATACTATATAGAAGGCCCCTTGTTATGCACAGCATTTCGTGCAAATTTGGTTTTGTCCCCAGGATGCGACCCACACCAGTTGGCTAACATTCAGGTACCTACTTGCTGCTAGGTGAACAGGGACAAAAGGTGTCTTAAGGAAACACCCCCAATGTTTCCACCCATACCGGGGATCGAGCCACGGACACTCACTGTGTGAAGTGAGTTCGCTACCAACCGTTGCAAAGTACCAAGATATATCATGTACCCACATATAAGTTAATTTACGTATCCTAACCTAAAATACCAAATATATTTTTTTGATGTTCACAGACAGAATTCTAGGAAGTACAATGTGTTTTAAAACTGCCGTCTTGTGTTATTTAGAGGACAGGTTGCTTACAGCGGGAGTACACCTTTGTTAATTAATTCGTTTTAATTAATGCGAACATTATGTAGAGTGTGAACACGGGGTGAATATGTATGGAGTGTTGTGGATACTTGGAGCTCATTCCCGGCCTCTCTTCCAGCTTGTAATCTACTTCCACATTAAGTACAAGCTGATGGAGCTACAATACTTCGGAAAAACATTGGATGACACATAACACAGCTCGTTTTGGTTTAGAAGAGACACCTGAGCCAGTACTGTTTATTAAAGATGTTTCGATCCTAGGACTGCGATCAAGGCCCCAGGACCCAAACATTTACCAATAAATATATCACAGTGTTTCTCATGTGCCTTTTTTAAACCACAACCCATTTTCTTTGAGACTTACGTAGGTTTTTGAAGGGTCCTTCCACTTTCAGGTAGGACTCGTCGTAGATCATTTGGCACATTTCCTCGCGTGTTTTAGCCTTGTAGCAGAGGTAGTCAAAGTTGCGAACTATGGTGATCATAGTGTTTTTCTGCAAGGAGCCTGGTTCCTTTCTCAGCGGCATCTTGGCACTGTGTTGCTACCTTGTTCTGACACAACACAACACTCTACACCCAGGCACCACTGGCCCTTGAGATAGTGTCACATACAACTGCCTTTTCAATTCCCCTGTGTTTAGGAACTAGTCTGTCTTTTGCTAATCAGTTCCAAATTGCTCTTTAGCACTATTCAAGAGATATTTTATTATCGAAATTGGTTTGGTTAATCGGGTCTCTAAAGCCTATCCATTACACGAAGGATCATTAAATCTACATGTAAGCTATTAACCACCAGTCAAGAATATCTTTATTTGCTAAAAGAGGATTAATTTAAATTCTCAGTGTACATGTACTGTAAGACACACACTTCTCGGTCTGTATATCCGTGTATGAATTATTAATTCGATCGAAATACAAAATAGTAATCAGGTTCATCAGGATTATACAATTAATTAAAATTATTATTATTATTATTATTATTATTATTATTATTATTATATGTAATCTAAAGCCCATTGACTCCAGTGTCAGTGGACAGGGCACAACACTGACGCAACACGTTGCATCATCACGTCAACGGGCAGGATGCAACTATTCACGTAAGCAAAACGTTGCGACATCACGTCAACGGGGAAGGTTGAACACATGACGCAACACATTACGTTAACTCTTACTGAAGAAAGTTTACATGAGTGAGTTTGATCCCCGACCTGACAGTGAGGTGTTAATCTTTACCTGTAGTGGTTTCCGGGGGTCACCCCCTCCCTCGACCCGGTTCCAGACCAGGCCTCCTGGTTGCTATTGGTACCTACTGCCCGCATTCAACGTTTGTACCACAACCTGATTGATCAGGAACTGATTTGAGGAATTTTCCGAGTTCGTGTTAAAAACAGTTAGGAGTTTGTTGGAAATTTCTTTTTTTCACGAAGGGAAGATGTTGAAGAGTCGTGGTCTCTTTACACTTATTGAGCACTATCTTTGTACTCATCGTTTCCCTGCTTTTCATAGCACCGTTTGTGTTTGCCTGTGCGTGCTTTAATTCAAAACACTAAGGAACGAGCCTACAAGCATGGATATAAATATCAAGAAGGTTAAAGTCATAGAATTTCTAAAAATAAACTTTTTTTTGTTTGTTAGCCAGAGAGGTTGTGAAGCAACACTTGCCTGACTGCAGAAATAACAACCATCAGTGGATGATGATATATATATAGGTAATGGTATAGCTTAGAGTGACTGAGAAAAATATATTTCTGTTCCAAAATTAGGTGACTGGTATTATTTCAGAAGATGCAGTTAAAACTCTAAACAGTATACTGAGGACGGCCCCGATGCGGGGCCGAAATATGCAATATTCATCTTATTTTCTGTTTGGTTATCTCCATGTTGGTTCGTTTGTTCTGATGGCTAGTGTTTGTAACCCGTTTTTGTATTGATAAAATATCTTACGGTATATTATACTGGCTAGTGTTTAGTACGCTTGTGTCTACCACACTAGGTCCGCGCACTGGTACACTGCTCGACACAGGCAAGACTTGACGCACTCTGACTGCCCAACCACGCAAACACACGTCCACAATGATCACAGGTTTACCACTGCCAAGACGAGGGTACACTACCTCCTAGCCCATCTACCCCCTTCTCCTACCACCCAAACCTCGCATCCAGGTGAAAGACATCCCCCCTACCCTTACTCCCGCGTTTCCAACACCACCCCAATGGAAATAAGTCATTCTGACTTTTTTGGGTTATCCTAGGTTCTTTACACATATGCTGCTATGTATGATAATCTATGTAATTGTATTTGTGTATACCTGAATAAACTTGCTTACCACATTACCATCAGCTATCATTACATCAGTGGTATACAACATCGACAAGTACTGTATTGATAAATTCAGTGGTTGGCGAAAGGTCTACAAAATATACTCAGGTGCTGCACATGTGTCTTATCGTCACCGTAAGCAACTTTCCTTCCTCAACAACCACCATCACAAGCTCTCTGAAGTTTGTGTTGCTTTAACATTTATCACTATCATTTTCACTGCTGTCACCATTACTTTAACTGTCACACTATCATCTATTCCACTACTTCGATAACCATCACCACACCCACTAGTACTATCATCCCTCACAACCACCATCTCAAACTCTCCCAGTATGGTCTCACAGTCCCCATTTCCCCGACCTTCCCACCACTGCCACCATTAGTACCACAACCACCGCATCACAAAATTCCTTTCCCGCTACATAACCTCTTTCGCCAGGAACCATTATAAACATGTGATTCGTAATGCAGTGATTTTTTTCAGGATCCACCACAATCACCATTGTTAGAGACCAAAACAATTACCACCGTTAGCAGGTAGCACCATAAGCCGGCATCGTCAGGAGCCACCACATCCACCCTCAATCAAAACAATCACCATAGTCAGGAACCTCCACATCCACAATCAGTCAAAACAATCACCATAGTCAGGAACCTCCACATCCACCATCAGTCAAAACAATCACCATAGTCAGGAACCTCCACATCCACCATCAGTCAAAACAATCACCATAGTCAGGAACCTCCACATCCACCATCAGTCAAAACAATTCCCATAGTCAGGAACCTCCACAACCACCTTTAGTCAAAACAATCACCATAGTCAGGAACCTCCACATCCACCATCAGTCAAAACAATCACCATAGTCAGGAACCTCCACAACCACCATCAGTCAAAACAATCACCATAGTCAGGAACCTCCACACCATCATCAGTCAAAACAATCACCATAGTCAGGAACCTCCACAACCACCATCAGTCAAAACAATCACCATAGTCAGGAACCTCCACAACCACCATCAGTCAAAACAATCACCATAGTCAGGAACCTCCACAACCACCATCAGTCAAAACAATCACCTTAGTCAGGAACCTCCACAACCACCATTGTTAGACTGGTGTAATAGTAATTCCAGCATTGCTGGAAAGAAACCTCACCATTTTCTTTCTTACTTCCTTCTTACCCTCTTTTCACTTCCTTTTTATATCCTTCTCATTCTTTACACCCTTTAACCCTATCTCCTTCTTACCTCCTCTTCCTCACCCCTTCTTGCCCACCTTTTCACCCCCTTCGCCCCCCCCTCTCCCTCCCCGCTCACCCACCTCCAGGACCTGCCAGTTGGCAGCTGATCATAACGTAAACACTGGCACAGCGTAAAACGAACACCTGTAGTCACTGGCTTCACGATATATCCACCGCGAGGTGTGTATGTCGCAGTGTTTATACACCGAGAGGTCTCTCTCTCTTTAGTTTATATCTACGGAGAGGGGTATTTCTCAACGTATATACACTGAAAGGTGTATGTGTATGTCTCAGTTTATATACACTGAGAGGTGTGTATTTATATGAGAAGTGTACTCTGTTTATGCATAGAGATGTGTTTTTAGTCGTTATACACCGATACTTATGTATCTTTCTTTATACACTAAGATGTGTGTATTTGCACTTCTTAGTGCTTATACACTAAAAGGTGTATATATCTCAGTGTTTACACACCAAGGAATAAACATCTTTTATATTTACACAGAAGTGTGTATATCTGCCATTGTGTTCGTATCTGGGATATGTGGAATTGGTGTTTGTGTGTGTGTGTGTGTGTGTGTGTGTGTGTAGCCATTAAACTCACATGTAACTTGAATTCACTCTGATTTCACAAACATAAATATACACTAGAAGTGAAATGCTCATCTGACCAGGACACCCATTTATCTTGTTGAAGTGAGATACCAACTTGTTGGCTGGCGATGAACTGCCACCGTTGTTTACATGCGATGAAAGCAAATGACGTTATTAATCCAGCACTGGTTCCATCATTTGCTCAATCAGTGTAACTAGGCAGGCATGATGACCCCACTAAATCAAACCTTATTTTCAGATATCACGTAGGAGTGTGAGAGTGCTGATGTTATACAATAATGGAACCTTGCTGTTTTTAGTGTTTTATATAGAAGAGTGTGATCAGAGTCCCAGAAGCCTATGTCATCCTACCTGTGTGTACATATGGTGTGACCAAGGTCCCAGAAGCCTATGTCATCCTACCTGTGTGTACATATGGTGTGACCAAGGTCCCAGAAGCCTATGTCATCCTACCTGTGTGTACATATGGTGTGACCAAGGTCCCAGAAGCCTATGTCATCCTACCTGTGTGTACATATGGTGTGACCAAGGTCCCAGAAGCCTATGTCATCCTACCTGTGTGTACATATGGTGTGACCAAGGTTCCAGAAGCCTATGTCATCCTACCTGTGTGTACATATGGTGTGACCATGGTTCCAGAAGCCTATGTCATCCTACCCATGTGTACATATGGTGTGACCAAGGTCCCAGAAGCCTATGTCATCCTACCCATGTGTACATATGGTGTGACCAAGGTCCCAGAAGCCTATGTCATCCTACCTGTGTGTACATATGGTGTGACCAAGGTCCCAGAAGCCTATGTCATCCTACCTGTGTGTACATATGGTGTGACCAAGGTCCCAGAAGCCTATGTCATCCTACCCATGTGTACATATGGTGTGACCAAGGGCCCAGAAGCCCATGTCATCCTACCCATGTGTACATATGGTGTGACCAAGGTCCCAGAAGCCTATGTCATCCTACCTGTGTGTACATATGGTGTGACCAAGGTCCCAGAAGCCTATGTCATCCTACCTGTGTGTACATATGGTGTGACCAAGGGCCCAGAAGCCCATGTCATCCTACCTGTGTGTACATATGGTGTGACCAAGGTCCCAGAAGCCTATGTCATCCTACCTGTGTGTACATATGGTGTGACCAAGGTCCCAGAAGCCTATGTCATCCTACCTGTGTGTACATATGGTATGACCAAGGTCCCAGAAGCCTATGTCATCCTACCTGTGTGTACACATGGTGTGACCAAGGTCCCAGAAGCCCATGTCATCCTACCCATGTGTACATATGGTGTGACCAAGGTCCCAGAAGCCCATGTCATCCTACCCATGTGTACATATGGTGTGACCAAGATCCCAGAAGCCCATGTCATCCTACCCATGTGTACACATGGTGTGACCAAGGTCCCAGAAGCCTATGTCATCCTACCCATGTGTACACATGGTGTGACCAAGGTCCCAGAAGCCCATGTCATCCTACCCATGTGTACACATGGTGTGACCAAGGTCCCAGAAGCCCATGTCATC